ACCAAAGCGGCTCCCCAAGGGGAGAGGGGATGGAGGGACCGGCGTTGTTCCTGATGTAGTCGGTTGTCCTGCGGTGATAGCAAGTTAGTGCTTGGCCATGTCTCGTCTCTGGGTTTTGAAGCCTCTGAAATGATGTGTTTCAACTATCAGCTGAAGGGATTTTGGTCTTCGACTCCGTTTTGGTGGCAGTTCACGTTGCTGAAACTCACTGCACTGAAATGCCTCTTAAGAAATGCTTTTAGCCCCAAAGCCGTATTAATATTTAAAGCGTTTTTCTGCAGCAGTGCAACAGCTGTGCAGCGTGGAATAGAAAACATTTTTCTCTCTTTCCCTCGGCAGCTCTAAAGCATCCAATGATAAATAGGGAAGAAGGGAAATAAATAAATAAATAAAAAGTTTTGTGTCTGGTATGACACTTACCTAAAATACCAAATATTGATCGCAGCCCAAGTCTCCTTGATTGTAGATTTGATATTAATAAAGCTTTGTTAATACCATAGAGGTGTAGCTTAACTAGTAGCAGTAACTAATCTAGAACAGCACCGTGAGGACAGTATAGGATAACCTAATATAGACCCAATATAGAAACAAGCCTAGAGCCGCACAGTGCAGCTGTGAACAGATCTCTGAAAGCAGAGCCGCAGCTTCCAGCAGTTATGTGAACAAAAGAGCAGTCTCCTGATACCCCTGGATTGTTTTCCGTGTAGACAACAGTCCTCATCTAACCCTAACTGCCTGTCACGGGCTTCTAGGAAGATTCTTCTTTGTGAGCAAAACTTTTCAGAAATGTGTGTTTGTAACTCATCCCTTTTTGGGAAGGCGAGGCACCCAACATCTCCCGCTCTGAGGAGGGCTCTTTGATGGGTTGGGATGCTGCGTGAACGAGAAATATATCCTCAGCCTCAGTAAATATTCAAAGGCAAGTAGCTAAGGTACAAAGGAGTAAATTTTCTACAAGTTGGCCACAGACGCCTTGTCATTTCCCAGTAAATTAAAAGGTCTTCCATTGGACCTATAAATTTATCGTACTTGTATTCTTCCATGACCACGGAAACAGACTGACCCTGTTTTGTTGGCATGTTTCATTCCCTGCAGATAACAGGAGTCCAGGGCTGCTCCTGTGTGTGCCGTGGCACCAATAAATTGAGCACAAACCCCTTTTTGCTGCTGTTCCCGTTGCTGCTGCTCAGTGTTAGTCTTTCTTTTTCACTGTTTTTATTTTCCAGCACCTTGGTCAGATTCTTTTCCATAAAAAAACAAGTGTTCTCATGTGCTCTGCTAATTACTTACAGACTTAAAAGCAATGTTTAATGTCAGAAGTGTTGCAGGAGGATGGGAATCTCTTTCCCATTCTGGATCACATGGTGGGTGATCCATGGAGGCTGGGACGACCATCTCAGCAATCATCAGGCTTTTCTTTCAGGGCTGGTTTTGGCCAAAAGCGAAGCTGGCCGCCAAGATCTAGGCAATTTGCTGGCTGAACTGGCTAAATCCTATATACTAAGACTACAAATCTTGAATAAGCAGGACAAGCTGCTTGAAGTTTCTCGTTGACCTTGGGACTGTTCCCATAAAGTATATGGAAAATGCATCCCAATTGTATTAGGTGAATTATTGGTCTTTATGGGTTTCTGGATAGCAGAAGTGCTATATATCTGATCATCAAGGGATTCTGTGGACTAGATGCTGCTCTCATTTTTATGGGTACATACTCAGAGTCACACCAAAAGAGTTCAGGATTTCAAATATATTTTGAATGTTTGGAACATTTTGCTGAATACATTTTTAGTGGCAACTCAGTGATTGCTCTTTAGTCTGAAAAAAAAATCACTCTGAAGCAGTGTTCTGCTCCGGAAAGTTCTGAGATGAGCCTGAAGTTTGGGGAAGCTCTAGTGCTTCAAACTCTGGGTTTCATGCTAAGCCTGCACTGGGCTGGACATGCTTATTTGATAGAACAAGGACAGTTGTGTTAACTCCAAGTTCATTGAACCTTTTCTGCTTTTAACTGGTTTTCATTTTAATGTACATATGTACCTCAAGACCTGAAAGAGGATTAAAATGCCAGACAGGAGGCACTCAGTATTTCTAATCACATACCAGAAATCTCAAGACACAGTTCTCACAAGTTTTTCTAGCCTTTGTAGACCGTAAAAGGCTCAGAAGTCCACTCTGATCTCCTTAGTTATTAAAAAATAAGTTTTGGGGGTTTTTGTTTCTTTGTTTGTTTGTTTTTAGCTGAGAATCCCACTCTGATGATCACATTCGATCAATCCAGTTTTCCCCCACAGTTCAGATGATGTTAGTTTTGCATTTGTTCACTAAGGCAGAGCGACAGAAGTCTTCATTCAGAACAAAATTCTAACAGGCTCTATCTGTTGCCCCAAAAAAGCCTTAAAACTCCTGCAGGTTGTTCCCCTACACATTATTTAATTTCAGAGTGTCTTCTGAATTTGCTTTGTTTTACTGCCGTGTGTTCCCCTTTCAGCAGTGCTTTGAGGAAGCAGCACTGTCCTTGTGAGCAGCAGGGTCTGCCCCCGTGCTTGGGGTCCGTAAGCAGCAGGCAAAGCCCGGATCCTCTAAGCTACAGATGGGTACATTCCGTTTCCTTGCATTTCCCATTAGCTTCACTCCTTGGAAAGTGCATTTCAAGTAAGGTAAGTCACCGAGCCGCTTTCAGTGGCATTGCTGGAAAGCCCGGTCTTAGCAAGCCCTTCTCGAGCGCCTTACAGCTTGGGGACACCGGCGATCGCTCCAACGGGATCCCTTCCGAGAGGGAGGAATTTCCAAGAAAGCCTCTCTTAGGCTCTGTATTTGAATGATGGGCAGTGTAAAGCCACAGGCTGCTGCCTTTGGCTGTGTAGCAGCTTTCATGTCTCTCTGACATAATTGGGCACACACGTAGCCCGAACCTCACTAGCAGGAGCAGGAGGGATGTAGGGAGGCACTTGGAGAGGTGAAAAATGCCATTTCTGTGCAGAAACAGTGGCATCTAGCGGACAGTCCCCGCAGTTCCCCCAGCTCCAGCGTTCGCTGGTGCTGAAGCGGCTTTGGAGGGTGCTGGGATGTGGCTGCCTTCATCTTCCTTGGCCACCTCTGCAGGTAGGGCCGAGTAAAGAGCTCCTCTGTTTACCTGCAGGACCCAAATTCATTTACATGAGTGGAGGACTTGGCTGCTTAAATCTGGTGGAGGAGCTGGATGTCTGGAAACATCATGACTGTGGTCTTTGTCCTCACGGGCCTTGTTTTCTCTTTCTCCATTTACCTTCATGATTTTCTGTCCTCTCTGTATTTTCTCCCCTCTTGTTCTTTGTTTCAAACTTTCCTATATAGCATATGCTATTTTTTTCATCTCAGTAGAGGGGAAGATACTGGAATCATCAAAACCAAAAACAGAAGTCTTGTGAGAGAGTTTAATTTTATAAAGAAGCTTAAAGGTTGGAATTCTAAAAAGACCGGTGATTTTTTAATTGGAGTCTGAGTGCAAACATGGGTTGGCTTCAGCCTTTTGACTAGATGAATCAGCCTTAGACAAATGTGGGCTAAAGGATATTCACACAATACTACTTTTCCCCTTAAAAAATGGAGAGAGCATAAAACATGGACCTGCAAGTACTTCAGCTTTGTATGTGGCCTAAAGCCACTGCATGACCTGAGTTTTCCAGCTCATGTGCGAGTACAGCTGCATGGGAGCTCAGGTACTTCAGGAAAGTACCTAAACCCACTTTCACTGGGTGCAACTGGGCATCATTGAGACTGGCATGATTTGGTTTTTGGCTGAGTAAGAGAGACCAGGGCCAGCATTTCCCTTAATGACTTTAACTTCAATGGAGATATGCAAATGGAGATCTATATGGTATAGAGTATTATGAATGAAGCACACAATAGCAGCCTGATTACGTTATTTTACACTCCCAGATTTAATCTGTGATTTCATCTTGAGAGTAGTGGAAGGAAACCTTTGATGCTTTGAGATTTAAATTATTTCCTTGGAGGCATCTAGGAAAGCTCTTACTGGAAAGAAAATATACTAGGAGTGTTGATCTATTTCAGTCTACAAAATGCTGTGTTACGGCAGTGACTACCTTGTGTATCTTCATAAAGTTGTTTTTTACTTGGCTATCTGTCACCAGGTTCTTAGAGTGACTGCAGTGGTAGACTCTGAACGTTACTTTGGTCTGTCTATAACTAATTCTATTGCAGCTACAGATCCTAACAGTGAAGCAAGACCCACCAAAACTTTGCTCCTGTTGTTTTGCAGATATCATATATTTATCATTTGATTTTACAAGGAATTCTGTTCCAAGGCCTAAGTTATAAAGGTCCATTGGTAGATGCAGCTGAATTGTCAGAATTCTAAAGGAAAGGGAAAAGTTGTGCAAAAAAACTACAAAACAATTAGACTGCACCTTCTTCCTTCCCACATGCTGATTCTAGTAATTCCTCCAAAAATTTCCTTAGGACTCTGTAATATTGAGCCTCACATTGAGTGATTTTTATCAGCACATAGTGAGGGAACCCAGCGTAACAAAATTAGCTGAAAACAGATCTGAGTCAAGCATTTATTATGAAGTAATACATGAAATACTCATCAGGCAATTAAGTATAGATTCGTGTTGCATAAATGTTATGTCTACTATTTAAAGTTTCCTCCAAAGTCCAGAATGGTGACATTTTCTTCATATTTATATTGCCCAACTTTGTACAGTCCTTCCCTTTATGTTCCTTTTATCGCAGATAGTCTAAAGCTTTACCCTTAAAAACATATTCTAATGCTTTTAGAATCAGTACTCGATGATATATTCTTACTCATAGCTCAGATCTTGGGGGAAACCTGTGATTTTTTTTTTTTAATTCATGCATGCAATCACTATTTTCTCTACAGGTAGAAAATATATGGTGGTGTATAACATATCTAGCCATGTATGGTTGAAAGCTTTCCTAAATCACTAGGATTACACTGTATTCCACAGAGATTCAATACATAGCCGGTGCAGGCATAATCTTGTCCACCAAAACACAACGTATGTATCCTCTTAAATGCACATGAAGAGATCTACAGGGGGAAAAAAAGGGAAAATACAGTTAAAACATGTAAATGCATTGACTATATTATGTGTACACAAAGGGCTTCAAATAAATGTAAGAACTTCAGTAACATTAATTCTTCCCAATAGCAGGACCCTGCCAGCCTTCCACTGTTTCTCAGCTGCAGGATTTTTTGAAAACTGCCAGCTTACTTTGTAGGGCTGAGTTCAGGAATTTTATGCTTTTGTTTTTAAAGAAATTGTGGCTCTAGCCTTTATTAGGAAGGAAGAAATGTATACTGCAAAAATATATATAAAAGATACCAATTATGGGGCAGGTAAATCCATTAGATTGGATGGACTAAATCCCTGTTGCAGTGTGGAAAGCAATGTGGATTTAACCAGTGTTCCAGGAATTGTTCTTCTGATCTCTGCTCCAGGCGCTGGAGGTAAAGCATATGCTCCTGTTTAAAGAAAAGAAAACGTAATTTAATTATGCAACTATTAGCGTCTGATGTCAGCCCAATGAACCAATAGAATGGTATAGTTCTATAGGAGGACTGAATTTATCCCTGAAAAATATTAAGTTGAATGAAATGGGGCTGACGATCAGTTTGCCCATGCAACATTTAAAGAACGACACCAACAACCAGGTTAGTCTCCATTTCTTTTCATCCCTGAAGGGCCTGAGAATCCCCAGGTACTAAAGCAATCTCCTCACATGCTGTAGGGATGGATAAACGCTTAGTTTCCTCGTGTTCTCCTCCCCGGAATAGGGGTTAACCGTCCTGCCTGTAGAACTTGGTGTTGCTCTTTGAGTTGGCTGGACACCGGTGTCCTGCTCTCACTGCGCTCCCTCCTCCTCACAGCCCAAGGGGACTTGGCCCAAATCCCCTATGGCAACTTCATTGTGAACCTGAAGAAAATAGGCCTGTGTGATGGAGATGGTGCCACGTGACAAAAAGCAGTCAAGATAAGATTGAAATATATTGATAACATAAGTGACTTTTTTAATTATAAAAGATGCCTCATTTTGTTGTCTGTAGCTGAATAGGCTATTTGATTTAAACTGCACTGTAGAAATCAAACAGTGTCGCATAGAATTACAAATTAAATTCTCCAGCTCAGCATGGTCTGGCCTAGTTCAAACAGCTTTTGCTTAAAATAGATGAATAGAGTTAGTTTCATCCCAGTATTATTTCATCTTGCTACAAAGAATCCATACAAAATCAGCTTTTCCCCTTGTGCAAGGGGCAGGACAGTGCACAGGGATACAGCAGCCATGGCCCTTTATTTGGAAGGGAAAATCTCCACGTTCTACATAGGGAACAGGTTTTTATCCTTCTCTACTGAAAACCTTGATGTTTAATGAAAAAAACAAGAACAAGTTTGGGTTTTCCTACAGAAAGCCAGTTTTGTCCTATACATAAGAATATATGTAAAAAATAGATTGGAAGTTGTAATCTAAAATGAGTCACAGCAAAGTATTTGCTAATGACCTTAGTAGTGTGGAAGGTGGCCAGGACAGAGCAGCAGAGATCAGGAATCAAATCACTCAATGGCCACGGCGCCTTTCACTCCCCTCCTGCATGCATGTAACTTCCCACAGTGCAGGATTTAACTCCATCCAGTTCCTCTGCTGTTTTATTTATATATAAATTTATCCTATAATCACGGCGGTATATTCTTCGTGGTATATTGAGTATAACCACGGATAGGAACTGGCTTGCTAATTTGCAGACACTTTACAAGGCTCATTTAACAGCTTGGAAACCAACCTCGCCCTGAATGTTGTGGTTAGCAGTGGAGAAGTGTGCCCACCCGCCGTGGTGCACGGGCAGCCACCGCGGCTGCCAGGCGGATCCTTTGTGGCTGCTCCACAATAACCATTGGAAAGGGAAAACCAGGAGCTGCCTTCACAAGCCTGGCACACAGCGAGTCCAGCCCCGCGCGGGCCGGGGCACTCAGAGGCGTTCGGCACCTTGCTACACTGACCCCTCACATCCACCACACTTGCACCATCCATTGTGTGTTTTCTGGCTTCTGTGGTTTTAGCCTCTTTAGAACCACGTAATTTTAGCACAGTTTATTTACTTTGGAAAGAAATACGCAGTAATTTTAAAATACCTTAAGTAGCTCTTGAGAAGTGCAGAATTATATGTTGCATCTTGTCAAAGCAAGGAAAAGAGAAGGCTCCTAACTTCATTTGCTTTTTCTTTTGTGGTAATGAGGTTTTAGAAATCGATAAATACAAATATTAAATGCAAAAACAATGTTGCTGCATTATGTCAGCAACTAACACCCTGTGCAACACCATAACAAACCACCCTGTCTCCAGCAGTCATAAAAGGTGAATGAAAGAAGTGATTTTAAAAGCTAGTTGAGAAGTACCTCAATCTCCACACTGACCACTGACACCTGCATCTCCTTTCTGCCTTGAGTGCAGAATGTACTGCAAGCAGAAGACTATTTCCTGTTATTTTAGTTTTTTCAGGAACAACCTGATGAACTCCACATTTCCACAAATGAAAAGGCACTTTCTTCTCAATAATTTAATATGCATTTTTGAGCTGTGATACCTCTAGATGATTAATAATTCCATATTCTGCAAACATACATTTCCAGAGCAATATTCAACATTTACAGAATGCTACTTAACAGTAATTGAAAAATGAAAAGTTTAAAAATATTCCACAGAAGAACTTAACTGTTTAAAAGGGTGACATTTGTAACTAATTGCACTTGTTGTTTGCAATTATATTTATAAAAATGTAATACTGAGCACAAATGAAACTTTTTAACTTAATTTACTCTCAAAATAAATATCATAAAATCACCCTCATTGGCTCATCAGGGAAACCAGCTTTTCTTTGTCTGTCTTCACGACGAGTTCTCAGAATCTGTTTGGCTTCCTTTTCATTCAAAATTGGTGAAGTGTCTAGAGGTGGAAAAGCAGAGATTAAATATTACATTACAAAAAAGTTAATATTTTATCTTTTGGGTATAAAACAAAAGGTCTCCAAACCTGATTTCTGTCTATAAACAGAGTGTTCCTTCATTACAGCCCTCCCCAAGGGATTCTGCCTTCCAGGAGATATGAGCAGAATTTTAAACCATTTTAGACTTGCACTTTCTATAGTCTAGTTCTGTCAAGGAAACACATCATATTAATGTTACTGTCTAAAATGAGAAAATATGACAGCACCATTTAACCACTGACATTATTAACTCTTTCCTTGTTCTTTTCTATGTCGCTTTGCTTTTTAAGTTAGACTTTTCTTGCAATAGACAGATTGTATCACTATCTAGCTTGTGAGATCTTGGTAAAATAGTAAAATAAGAGACACTTTTATTTGGCAATAAGTGACTACAATTTGGTAGAGAGTATAGTGTCTAATGCAATAGCATGATTGTTAAAAATCAAATAATGGAAATCCTGCAATATAATCAGATTTAATTCTTCCTAGGTGTTAAAAGTGAATTGCAAAGATATAAAGTACAAAAGACCCACATTATTTTAATATCTCCTGCAGCTCTACATGCACAAGCAGGTTTATTTTATATAGGTTCCTACCTGCAAGAATGGTCAGGAGGACCAAAACGAAGCTGAGCACAAGGAACTTCTTCATTTTGACTCTGCTTCGCCGCGAGCTCTTGGCGAGTGAGAGGCGCGGGGCGGCGGCAGCCCCGGGGGCGGTGTGAGGCGCGGGGCTTGTTTGTGTGCCGGGGCCGGGGCCGGGGCGCGCTCTGGGGACACCTGGACATGGCCGCGCCGCTCCGCGCTCT